CATACAGTATGTGACCTGAATGCAGCATTAGGTCATGTCATGGGGGATCATGTGATCGTTGTGGGTCATGTGAGTGTGAGCAGTGGGTTCATTCGCTTTAAATGCAAAGAATGCTTATCCCGAGGAAATCCACAACAATGGTGTCCTTTCTCAGCTGTGAGTGGGTAGCCTATTAGCCGCTCGGCCCCCCCGCATTGCATCTATCCTGCAATATGCTGCATCTACTTCATTGAGTGCAATAACGGCTCAAAGCAGCTTACTGCCATTAGAGTAGCTCTCAGTGGAGACGTGTGAAATCTGAATCAATCACAATACTTTATTTATGGCGGGGGGTATTGTGGCTGTTGTACATCCTGCATCCAGCACCAGTATCTTAGGTCAGGGGTTGACAAACTTTGCCATGCCAAGGACCCCCATATAGCATTATCCTCTGGCGGGGACCCCCCTGTTGCAATTTAAAAAAATGATGAGTACATTACGATGGAAAATATGACAACTTAATCATACAGCTAAATACATTTTCTTAATATATATTTGTATTAATAATTAATAATCAGTTATACTTCTAAAATAATATTGTATTTATCTTTTGTTTGTCATTCATTACATTGATTGTGTCTACTGTTATAAACATTCTTAACACATTGTCGTGGCTTCCTTCCTTGTTTTTCCATCAAGCCACTACACGCCTTAAACAGACAGTTCTAACTCGTTTCTTTCTTTAAAGTACTCACAGTTTGAAGTGTTGCTTGGCCTCCGATGGTTTAGAAGATGTTGCGATGTGTTTGCTCAAAATAAAATAACAAACTTTTGCACATGCAACAAAGAAAAATAGGCCTTTACAATATTCAAAAGAAATAGGCAAAAATAAAACAAACAACTTAGGAATTCTTTCTTTCGTGATAATGCTTATAACTTCACAACTTAAAGGGTACTTGTACGGTTCGTGTGCACGTATACGAGTACGAGTATGTTACGTTACGGTTAAAAACTGTTCCTCGACGGCGTCTCTCAACAGGTTGCCCATCACTGTGGCGTTAGCACAGGCGCCGTGGGAATTGTAGTCCTTTATAGTGCGTTGACTACAGACGTCACAATTAGGTGGCCTTTCTTATCAAATCAAAATACTGGCTCTAACACCATGTCTTTTTATACTGCTGCAATGTAAACAACTCCCAAATTGGATCAATAAAGTAGTTCTTTATCTGCATCTTTACAGTAGGTGTTATGGATTGAGCTTTCGAGGCGCCTCACCTTTGAACTTCCCGCTCTCCAGCAGCGCTCCCGACTCCTCCAGAGAGAAGAACTCCTGGATGGACACGAAGTTGTAATCTACGCCGGAGATCTCCCCGTCTCTGGGCTGTCTGGTGGTGCCTGGGAGAGGAAATATAGAGAATATGAGAGAGACCAGAGGAAATATATATCTTCATACATCAGGTCGGAGAGAGAGAGAAATACTGCCAGCTCTAACGGAGATGACACTTAATCACATCCTCTCATCGGGGGGGCATGAATCTTAGTTAAGTGTTTAAATAAAGCGACAACTCAGCAAACTATAAATAGTCCAAGCATCACAATTTGACAAATTGTTTAAAAAATATAATTCAATGAGAGGTGACAACCTCCTGAATCATTTCTGGTTCATTTTCAAGCAGTAGAGGAGGAAATTATTCAGATATTTTATAAACAAAGAGGACGTATCATGCTCATTTTCATGTCATATCAGTATGTAGTGTCTCTACTTTAAAGAGTCCTCTCCTGCTGATGTTCAGGTGTATATCAGTATGTAGTGTCTCTACTTTAAAGAGTCCTCTCCTGCTGATGTTCAGGTGTATATCAGTATGTAGTGTCTCTACTTTAAAGAGTCCTCTCCTGCTGATGTTCAGGTGTATATCAGTATGTAGTGTCTCTACTTTAAAGAGTCCTCTCCTGCTGATGTTCAGGTGTATATCAGTATGTAGTGTCTCTACTTTAAAGAGTCCTCTCCTGCTGATGTTCAGGTGTATATCAGTATGTAGTGTCTCTANGTGGCCTTTCTTATCAAATCAAAATACTGGCTCTAACACCCAATATTAAACAGTAATATCAACAGTAAACATATTTTTAAAGCATTTTTAAAGGGATTTCTGTCTTTATAATATTATATAATTTTGAACAGTATGAACAATTAGCATTTTTGAAAGCTATTTAAATATAATATTCAACAGTAATATTAACAATAAACATATTTATATTCATATATATAAACAACAATATTTGCTACATCCGTGCTCTCATCCAGCTGCAGAAATATTCACTAGCTCTCACTTGCTCCAAAAGCTGAGCAGATACTCAGTTTCACTCTCAGTAGCGGCAGCTCGATTCTGATTGGTTTGAAGGGCGGTCATGTGATTTAAAAACAAAAAAATAAAATATTAATAAATATTAAAAGATTGGCACCAAAGGACACATAGATTGATAGATATGCAGTTATTAATTACATAAAAAAAATAAAATAAATAAATAAATGTAACTTAAAAAAAAGAAAAAAATTCCCCTTAACCTCAAACTTTGCTTGACCCCCCTGGTGCCCCCTGGCGGTCCCCCGGGGGGTCGGGGCCCCCACTTTGAAAAACACTGTCTTAGGTCAGGACAGTGGTAACTTTGATCTGGAGCAACAGTAGATGCAGCAGTGTGCTACAGCAGTTCCCTTCTGAGACCTCCTCTGTATAAACCAGGCTAATGAATTTCTCTGCATACCTGACAGAAAGCCAGGAGGTCACTCCTCTCCTCTGAGATAAAAACAACCTCTGTGTGAAACTACATGATGATTTCTAACATGTATCTGTGTTAGAGGAGATTCAACTGTATTCATCCCATTAGAGAACCACAAGGAATAAGAGAGAAAGAGCAGGAGAGGATCTATTCAATCTGAGAGTATCAAGCCACATTGATTTAAATTAGACCATTACATCAGCATGTGTGACGCTAAGCAGCTGCAGAGTGACCTCCATCGCTTTGCTGCAGTCTACCTGCACCTGGAGTCCTGTCACTTTGATTTATTTCCCCGTTACCCGCCACTCCCACATCCTATTGTGACTGTGCATTGGTATGATCCAGGTGTGTTAGTATGTAGTGTGTTGCATAAACAACCTTTGATTCATGATTAAGGAAATTCAACGGAAGCTTAGGAGGATCAAAATGTTACTCATCAGACGATTACTCAGATGTTATTGACTCCCTGTATTGAAATCAAGGTAGTTAATGCCAAGTAAACATATTAGAACTAATAGGAGGAGCAGTTATTGTTGCGTATGTTTCCAGTATAGTCAAATGAAGAGGGCGTTGGAATATAAGTATTAGTACTTAAAGTAGTTATTATAGCGGTCTTATTAAAGCAACTTGAACTAACACTAACACTAACAGTTTGCGTCATAGACTGGTATTGATTTAACTGGTTAGTATTCTGCCTGTGTGTCTTTGTGTTTACTTCACACACATCAACAGTATCACAATAACAGCTTTTTATTTAGACTTCTTCTCGAGTTTGAAGGTGTTTCATTATTTTCCCTCCCCCATCTGGCCTGCATGTAGTGTCTCCTATTCTTTACCTGCCAGCCAGGAACAGAACTGTTAACGTGTGAAATGTATTACGGTTCATGTCACTTCGTTCCTTTCAGGTATTTGTTGGGACACGTAAAATAGAGGTGTGACTTCTGGGGATTTGGTCTGTCTCCCTGGACGCTATTTTCTTGATTTTTCATGTGCGGTTAGTGATAAAAGGGAACAGGTTTTGTCTGACAAATTCAATCCTTCCCTTCCCTCGACTGTAAATACTCCTTGACTGCTCTCATCTCGTTGTGAAGGCACTTGGTCTGGTCTCAAATGAGGCTGAGCAACAGATGGGGAGCACAGCTGGTATTTAGGGTTGTACTGGCAGGTTAAACACACACACACACCCCCACACACACACACACACACACACACACACACACACACACACACACACACACACACACACACACACACACACACACACACACACACCTCTCTGCAGTGTGGATGTACACTTTGCAGCAGATTCTCATGTTCCCAGGCCGAGCAGCATGCATATAAAACAAAATAGAACGTGTTCGCTGCTATTTCCAACCTGCCCCAGTGCCTGTTTTTAACTTTGAATCCATCGGGAGCAGCCACAAAGAAAGTGGTGACTTTGGAAAACGCTCCTAAAGCACTACCGTGTTCTAAATACTGAGAATAAACGGCTAGCAAATCACGACACGCCTACATTTATCCCTCTACCCTTATAGCCAAAACATTCTTTGTCTGTGTTTAAGGTGATTTAGTGATTTCTCTTATCTCTGCAGCTCAGTGGCAGCAGACAGATATCACTTGTGTTTGCAGCTGATCCCTGGTATAAGACACAGTACTTTTAAGTGAAAGTGTGTGTATGTGTCAGCGGTATCTCAGAGAGCAGGTTGTCGTCCGTGGGCTATTGTTGAGACTTATTTTCAGCCACCTGTTGCAGCGGGAGATAAAATACACTGGGGTTTGGTCATCGGTCGTACAACAGCTCAGCATTTTACAGCTGTGTGTGTGTGTGTGTGTGTGTGTGTGTGTGTGTGTGTGTGTGTGTGTGTGTGTGTGTGTGTGTGTGTGTGTGTGTGTGTGTGTGTGTGTGTGTTGCTCACAGTAAATGTTATCTTTACATGCCAGGCATCATTCAGCACTATTACAGCAGAGGTGAAATGTTATGGTTTTAAATCAGACATTTCCCAAAATGTTACAAAACCTTATTATTAATAAGATAAATTAAATCCCAGCAAGGACATTCAGGTGTCATAGCAACAACAGTAAATCAGGAATATGTTAAATTGAATGAAAGGTTTTTTTGTGCCGGTGTAATCATGTTTTTACGGATGTATCTGCATTTTTGGAAATTAATTGGCACAAACAGAGTGCCTCGTCAAATTAGAAATTTAGAGGATTTCTTCAAACTTTTCTGTGTCCCTCCGATCAGAATGTCTTTTTTGGTAGGGAGAAAATAATCAGATTAAAATTAACGCTGCTTTTCTTCCCTGGCATGTATCCTACAAACACTTCCATGTAATGCTCAATATATTCATTGTATTTCCTTTTACTCCAGCTGGTAGAGGAGTGAAGGGGGTAGCTGCTTGTTTCAGGAAGCGTGCGTGTGTGTGTGTGTGTGTGTGTGTGTGTGTGTGTGTGTGTGTGTGTGTGTGTGTGTGTGTCTGTCTGTCTGTCTGTCTGTCTGTCTGTCTGTCTGTGTGTGTGTGTGTGTGTGTGTGTGTGTGTGTGTGTGTGTGTGTGTGTGTGTGTGTGTGTGTGTGTGTGTGTGTGTGTGTGTGTGTGTGTGTGTGTGTGTGTGTCTGTCTGTCTGTCTGTCTGTCTGTCTGTCTGTCTGTCTGTGTGTGTGTGTGTGTGTCTCTTAGGTTGGAGATGTCGTCTTCATGAAAGAAAACGAGACGTTTCCCTGCGACCTCATCCTTCTTTCCACGTCTCGAGATGACGGCACCTGCTTCGTTACGACAGCCAGTCTGGACGGAGAGAGCAGCCACAAGGTGTGTACAGGATGTGTGTGTTAAAGGGAACGTTAGGATGTTGGGGAATGAGTTTGAATGAGGTAATAATCCAAAGTCAGTGTATATCCTACAAAGGAGTTACTGCAGCGAAGCTACCTCGCCTTCACACAGTCCTTATTCACTACATTCAAGTCAACGCTGTTAGTTTTTTGTTGCAAATGTCTTAACATGTCTCTTTTTATCCACCTATCGATTCTCTCGTCTCTAGACACACTATGCAGTTCAGGACACCAAAGCTTACATCACAGAGAAGGAGGTGGACTCCATCCATGCGACGATTGAATGTGAACAACCGCAGCCGGACCTGTACAAGTCAGTACAACACACACACACACACACACACACACACACACACACACACACACACACACACACACACACACACACACACACACAACTGTAAATACCCTGTCTCGAAATAAATACATAAATGTTTATATCGTGTCCTTCCTACACAGATTTGTGGGCCGAATCAACATCTACATGGACAACGAGCCGGTTGCCAGGTAACCCAAAGTTTATTTTCTATGAATGAGTATCTTATCTACCTTATTTTTAAAAAGTGATGGACATTTCCCTTTTTTCACAGTATGAGAAACAAGTTTAATTACTTTTCCCTTTGTTCTTTTTGTATGTGATGGAAGTAAAAAATGATTGATATTTTGGTTTGTTTAACCGGGGCTTAGTTTTCAAATAACGATTTTGTTATTAGGTGACATACATGTGCTGTAAAAGAGGCAACTTTTCCAAATGAAGGGTGAGAACACCTCCTGAAATAAGTTCTGTTCACAGGCCGTTAGGAGCAGAGAACCTGCTGCTGCGAGGAGCCACGCTGAAGAACACTGAGCATATATATGGTAATATCACCTGAAGTACACTTTTTTTAATCAAATGAACTGGATTTTTCTCTCCGTTTTCTTCAGTTGATATTTACGGAGTCTGAATCTTTGGTCTCATGTGGTTGTGTGTATTGTATAAGGTTGCCTGTACCTCTCTAAAAAATAGTAGAACAGCCTTAAGTTATTTTAATAGATTTTTCGGTCAAGAAACGTTGATGTTCACTATTCCCCTCGGCCTCCTTTTTAGCGGTTGCCATCTACACTGGGATGGAAACCAAGATGGCTCTAAACTACCAGACCAAGACTCAGAAACGCTCTGCGGTTGAAAAGTAAGCTATCTCTCTCTCTTTTCACTTTCAGATACATATTATTGTGTCCATAAATCCAGATATAAATCGTTTTTCCGCCCCTTCAGGTCGATGAATGCCTACCTGGTGGTGTACCTGTGCATCCTTATCAGCAAGGCGCTCATCAACACGCTGCTGAAATACGTCTGGCAGGCCGACTCCAACCGAGACGAGCCGTGGTACAACAACCGGACCGACAGTGAGAGACAGAGGCACATCGTGAGTCTAAACACCCTCCCTCAACCTGGAGTAAAAATGTCTTCATCCGCCCTTACCTTCTCATTTTCCTCCTCCTCTTCCTCAGGTGATCAGGGCGTTCACAGACTTCCTGGCGTTCATGGTTCTGTTCAACTACATCATTCCCGTCTCCATGTACGTCACGGTGGAGATGCAGAAGTTCCTCGGCTCCTACTTCATCATGTGGGACGACGACATGTTCGACGAGGAGCTCGGGGAGAGAGCTGTCGTCAACACGTCGGACCTGAACGAGGAGCTGGGACAGGTGGCAAATAAGCTTTGTTAAATCAAACGTTTACATGTACAGAGAAGTCACATAGGGATGCATACCGGTATCCGGTATTACCGAAATACCGGTTACTGGTGGCTACGGTATACCGTACCGAAATCAGATCCGGTTTCGATACTTTAAAAAAAAAAAAAATATATATATTTTTTTAATTTAATTTGAAAAGTGAGTCCGTGGCCCGTGATGGCGGGTGTTATAAATTAGATTGCATAATCGTTTTTCTTCATATTTTATGTATTTTTCATTGTTTGTTCAATACTAGAAAGGTAAGTCCCACAAATGAACTGTGATGGGATTTGTTTTCTCTCACCAGTGAAGGCAAATGTTGATTTTAAAGATGAGATTTGTTTGTTTGTGCAATGCAGAGATCTCATGACCATTATTCTATTATGTATTTGTTCTCTAGTCGAATCTCAGGTTTAACATTAATTATAACGGTGCTATAACGGTCTGTTTGCATTGACAAGATGTGCTATTCACGCGGCACACCTGATGGCGGGTGTTATAAAAGATATTCCATAATCGGTTTTCTTCATATTTTTAATGTATCTGTCATTGTTTGTTCATTACTAACAGATCCAAGAAGTCCCACAATTGAATTTCATATTCATTTGACATGTTAACTATATCGTAAAGCGCTTCATGGGAGTAATTGTGGGATGATACATTTTCAAAGTATCACGATATGTATCGGTAGAGTTCAGTGGTATCGTAAAAAAGTCAACGATATGCATCCCTACTCTCACCTGTAGGGACCTGGAGGAGGCTCTGGAGATGGGCGTGGGCTGGTCTCTCTCTCACCTGTCTGTCTCTCACCTGTCTCTCTCTCACCTGTCTCTCTCTCACCTGTCTCTCTCTCACCTGTCGGGACCTGGAGGAGGCTCTGGAGATGGGGGTGGACTGATCTCTCTCTCACCTGTCTGTCTGTCTGTCTGTCTGTCTGTGTGAGAGAGAGAGAGAGAGAGAGAGAGAGAGTGTGTGTGTGTGTGTGTGTGTGTGTGTGTGTGTGTGTGTGTGTGTGTGTGTGTGTGTGTGTGTGTGTGTGTGTGTGTGTGTGTGTGTGTGTGTGGTCAAGCTCTTCCTGTTTACAATATGCTCCTCTCTTCCTGGTCACCGTGGGGCTTCAGTTTCTGGCTCTGCAATGCTGTGTTCAGGTCCTGTGGGAACAATGATTGTTATTTAGAAATCGCCGACCTACTGACACACTTAAGTCGAGCTTTGAGTCATTAAGATTGTTGGAGTTTGAAAGTGAAATGGTGTGATATATCAATGTACTGTAATGCATTTAAATATAACTTTAAAATAGTTAGTTTCACTTCTGTAAAACATGTGCACCTGTTTGCACATTCAGGCTTCCCCTTAAACATGACCTTAAAAAACCTTCAAATCCTCCCTAAAAGTACTGCATTATTCTCAGATAGGAAAACATAAAACAAACAATTGACGAGAAGAATAGTCTGCAGATCTAAATTGATCCCGCGGGGCAGAGACCCCAGAGGTTAATGCTCTCATACATGTTTGATGTTGCAGGATGCGAGATCCCTAAAAGGCTCCCGGCGCATTCCACTAATGTGGCTTTAAGGGAAATGGATGTGGCTGCAGAGTGAGACAGACGGAGATAAAGCTCTCCGTCCCTCTCTCTTCTGACCACAAATGTTTCCCTTCCAACTATAAATACCCCCCTGAAACCGGCCGCGTCCTGCAACCCGAAACGCCGCTAAAAGTGATTATCAGAGCCAGAATAGCCCGAAGTGTCCGGTTACATCTAAAGGCTGAAGGCCCGGGCTAACACAGGGCAGCGTTATTTCATAAGCCCTGCTATTGTTTTTGTGATAGCTGCCTTTTTATCCGATTATACACAGAGAGGCTTTCATGTAAAAAGCTTGAAGGGGGATGAAAGTCGAAAAATCGATAGGAGAGAGATCGTCTGCTTAGAGGCCATCCAGGTTGTGGTGAGAGTCAGAGAGGAAAGAGGCGTGAAAACCAATAAAGCTGCTCCAAGAAAAACAAGGGAAGTGATGACAGTGAGAGGAGCCCACTGCGCCATCTGTCTCCATTACCTCCATTTGATCGGCACTTAACAGACAGTCATGTTATAATCATAAGGTGCATCATCATTGTGTGAGTCAGCAGGGTTTCTACGTGTACATGGCTTCAAGTTGTAGCTGAAAATGTATTTTTGACCATCTTTATCAACTGATGACATCATTGTCAGCCAATCATACCCAAAAGAGATCAACTCCACCTGTAGGACAAACAGATTATTAAAATATTAATGAAATAGTGAACAACTGATTTGTTCATCTCTGCAGCTCTTTTTCAGATACGACCCTTGTCATCTCCATAATGCAAAGTGTATTTATGCTCCTCTGGGCTTCCTGTATATGCATGGCTCTCTTCCATGATGCAGTCGACTAACAGGAAGTGTGTTGTAAAAAAAAGAAACCGTGTTAGGTGAAGCAGACGGAGCAGGCAGGTGGGAGAAAAGCAGGAACAGTGTGTGGGCGAGAGTTGGAGAGCCCTCCATGCTCTCTGGTTTTCATCAGATTTCTGTCACTATCCTCCCTGGTATGATAGATGTAATGCAGGATGAGTGTTAATGCATGCTGGACTCAGAAGGTGAAGAACAGGGCATAGAGAGAGGGACACGGAGAGGATTTACTGTACCTTTAAGATATCAATTTGTATTTGCACGCCAATCTTTCC